TATTAGCAAACACGGTAAGCTAATTTAGTATTACTGCCTAACGGTCACAAACGAGGAAAGTAAATGAATAATTGTCCCTATCACTCTTTAATTAATCATTTTACAGGGCGCGCATTGGTGCGTTACTGTTGTTGTTTAGGATTATTATGCCTTTAAGGTTTATATTGTATCTCAAGCTTCCACTCTTTTGTTATTAAATGCAAAAAAGCAAGTGGCATAATAATTACGTTCTTTCTGTTCATACACATCCTCCCACTGGCGCGCTGCTCCTTGACTGAAGCGATATTTGATTCATGAACAGCTGCCTATTAAAGGCGGTGGGGAAAGGCACGGTAATTCCTGAAAGCAATCACAAAATAATATTTCAGCCACAGCACTGATGTCAGGTCCATTTGTGCATCTCTGCCACTGATTCACATTCTGTAATCTGCAGCTTCAACTGACAGCATTTATTCCTGATGCCTGCGAACAACACAGGGAGCACACACCCGGCTGAGTCGCAGCGCTCTGCACGTGTGCTTCCTACCATTGATTCAGCCAGAACAGGAAGGTAACTGTTACCAAATGTACACTGTATTGTAGCATAGATGCATTTGAGAAACATGTATCTCTAGTATATATATGTAACATACAAGGGATCCGAAACTAAGATAATTAATCTGTATGTTTGCACTGTTATCCATTCTTAGGACACGTGTAATGCTGCAGAAGTGCTAAAATAACACATACAAACTAAAGGGGAAAAATTCTGCTGAAGGTAAAAAGGGCAGCATTTGTCTCCTGCTGGCCAGTCCTGGGTGAGGCAGCTAAGCAGAACTGAATAGCAATGCATCACCTCCACAGCAAAGGACACCCAACAGCGCGAGTCTGCAGGTCTCACGCTGTGCCGAGCACAGTGCAACACCTTCCCTTTATAGAAAAGGCAAGAGCAGAAGAGGGTGAAGTAAGCTGACCAACGCAGCCAAATGATTCAACGGCAGAATCTGAAACAGAAGTCTGATCTCAACATCTTCCATTCTGAGCCCAACATAAGGGACATGGGGTTTCCTCATGTTCCTACGCAGAAGTGTTTTAAACTAAGTTACAATTCATTCAGCTGCATTACACTCAGAATGGTCTGCATTCAATTTTGCAGTTCTTTATTTAACCTACACTTAATCCTCCATCAATAAAAGGGAGAATTTAAAGGTTGAGATCTGACAAAATTATTTCGTTCTTTAGCAAACTCATGACCTTGACTAAAAGGCAGTGTTTCTCTCACTTTTAAATGTCAAGTTGACTGTAATAATCTTCATTGCAGAGGCAATCTATCACAGCTTAACCTCATTGGAAACTGGAACAAAGGGTTATGCCATTAAGCTGTATGTAAGGTGCTGTCAACAAAAAGACTGAAATCTACATTTCCCTTTTTTTCCCAAAGAGAACAGGGCTGAAAATTGGTGCAAACCTTCTGTATCATCACTTATCACGCAGCAATAAATACCAAGAGCTACACATATAGCACTTAACCAAGTATTCATGCCTTACTCAGCAACAGCCTAACTTTACAAAGAGGTACTTAGAATAAAACTTTCCATTAAAAACTGGGTTTTCAGGCATTAATTTGCATTCCATCAACCCCACTGCAGTGCAACTACTGTATCAATCTACAAACCTATTCTCATAAGGAAGGCCAATCATCCAGTGGAAAAAAAAACAGTTATCACAGCTGAGATCTCATTCTGAGCAGAATGTGCTACACACAGAGCTGAGTGCCACTGCACACAAACATTAATAAAGGAAAGCAAAGCAGCATTCTAAGGACATGGCTCAGGTCACAGAAGAGATGAATCACATAGTACACCACTTTAAAAAATAGGTCAGAATGAAAGTTAAACTGGACCTTTTAGATAGCTTTCTGTGGGTGAGTAATAGCCTACGTGTGAGCTAAGTACAGAAATTTGTTTCTGCACCAAACCTGCCTTCAGCCTCACATCTGTCACAAGAAGAACAAAACAAGGATGGAGTTTTTAACAGTCACCTTGTTCACCATCTCCTAGGTTAGTAGAGAGTCAAAGCAGAACCAAACAACTCATCGAGTCAACCCAAACTAGTGCTCCTTCTCTTGCACAGCTGTGAAGGTTCAGGAGGACCGAGCTTTCGTCCAAAATCACCATCATAAAAGCAAACAGCAGATGGTCAGAATAAGGGTTCCCATTATTTCACGATCTTAGGCCTGTTTCCAGACTACAATCAATCACAATTCATATTACGACCAAATCACTCTGATCTTCTGCAGAAAGAGCTGAACAGTCAAAGCTTTGGAAGACTACACCAGCCTGCATGGTAACTTCTGTGCTGTGCTGTCTTTAAATCTCAGGTAAAGGATCCAATTATTGCCCCACTGTAATTAAGGACTTCTCACAAGCAGTACCTAACATCCTGAAGGTTGTATCAGTAACTACATCCAGCAACTAAGTCTGTATCTCTGCAGCAGGGCTGATTTAAGTTACCAGTTATCAGATCAACTCCTCTGACGCTTACCTAGTTCATCTGAATGCCCAGTTGCCCCGAGGTACAGCAGTAGGACTGCGTGTGACTGAAACTCCACAGCAACCAACATCCTGGAGTTCGCTTGAACTGAAAGTGCCTCCACCACATGGAAATGTGGCTTCTTGGAGGAGGCAGGCAATACCAAATTCAAGTTAAAAGAGCACTAAAGATACGCTATTTGCATAAATAGCTAAATGCTCTGCCAAGCTATCACTCATGCATTTCTCAGCCCTCTAGCACCACATCCTACATATCTGTGCTTACCTATACGTTCAGCCTCTACTAGTTCTTGCCAGCAGAAGGGGGAAGGATTCAGTAAGGGGCCATGGAAGACCACAGGGATTTGCAGACCAAGGTCTAAAAACCCATTTAAATCCAATAAAGTCCTGGCTGGGCTGCCCAAACTGCAGTAACTTAACAAGACAGATACACAGAATGTTTTAACTGAAAGCAATGCTTCCTATCTATGAACTAAAAAGCAAATTTGTTTTACATCCACCTCTCTAAGTATCAAAATCTTTTTTTTCCCACTTACTTCATACTGCAGTGCACATGTCACCAGCACAGCTGCACAAGGAAACCCAAGTTTCACCCACAGTTCTCTGCAGCTCATGACAATGCAGAGTGGTCCTCTCACATACTGAAGCTTTAAAGAGAAAAAAAACAAAGAGAAAAGCAACAAATAAATAAGAGCATAGAGCTGTAATATGCACAAGAGCATATTACTCTATTGTGTGAGACAAAAACTTTAAAAGAGCACGTGCAGTTAGTTTACAGAAGTTTAATAAGACACCTTTCTTGACGTACCTCTGTATGTGCTGTTACTTTTCTTATTGCAGAACGGAATGGAGATGATCATTACAACGCAAAACAAAACTTCAGTGACGCCACCAGACCTCAGATAGAAGTTCTGCACCACTTGCACTGGTTAAGCAGCACTGACCCAACTCTAAAGCAGCTTACGAATTGCTGCCTATGAGAACTCCAGCTGAACAAGCAAAATAGATTCTTTAGTGCCATTCTTACAAATGGCAGCAAGGAGCGGAGAGACAGTAATTAATGTGTATCAGGAGCAACAAAGAGCTTGCACAAGTCTCTGCCTTGCCCAGACAACAGACTGAGGAAGGCTCTGCAGTAAAGGGGGCACAGGGACGGCTCACCCAGGCTGGGCTGCAGCACTCAGCTGATGGAGGTACGGTTCTGATAGACCTGCGCTAAACAACAAAATGAGGCTGCAGGCAGAAAGCCGGGCCGGCCGTTGGCACATGGGGCACAAGGAATTGAAAAGCCTCAGCAAAACCACCTCTAAACATAACAAATGTCTGTTCCACAGAACCGGGTGGATTGGAAAAGGGCTTTTATCGGCACTTTGTTCTAACAGGTAACTGTTCAGGACGGCTCGAGACATCCAGCTGAGCAGCAAATGAGGGATTTGCACAGCGCTGAAGGTGCTCCCATTGCTGAGCACAACAAAAATAAACAGCCTCAGCCCAAAGCGGCTCTCATAAATTCGAGAGACCACGCTGCCAAAACGCGGAGAGCCGAGGAAGCATCTCCGCCAGCCACGGCTCGTCCTCGGGAAAAGCGCCCCAGCAGCCGCCCCGCCACCCTTCTCCCCTCCACAGCTCCCCCCGCGGCCGCCTCGCGCCGCTCGAGCTCCCGCGCCGCCCCCGGCCGCGTGGCCGTGCGGTGGATGAGAGGAGGAGCGGAGCAGCCGTGCGCGTGCAGTGGCCGCCCTGCCGTGCACGTGTAAAGCGAATGGAAAGGCCGCAGCCAAGATACAAAACACTACGGTAGCAATTTCAGAGGCTAGTTTTGTTTTTGTTTTTGTTTTCTTTCTGGATTTCACCGCCTCCTTCGAACAAAACTTGGTTTGCCAAATGCCGCCGGGTGGCTGCAGAGCCCCGGCACAGCTGATGAGCGGTGGGAAATGGCACAGAGCCGCAGCAGCGCCTCGCACGCGCTCGCTCCAACCTCTCCTGCGGAGCGCGCCCACACGGAGCTGATTAAAAGCTACTGCAAGTGTGAATTCTTTCCCTGAATAGGTTCCTGCCCCACAAAAGAACACTTCATCCATCCGATCTGAATCAGATCGGAGCCTTAAAAGCGACTTTATTCTACTGCCATTATGAAACACAGCTTTCATTGTTTGCTGCTGACACGCTTTGAGTCATCTTCTCCCCGCAATAACTAATTCCCCTCCTCCTGTCTGACAATTCACGGGCAGCCCAATTACAGGAGAGGAAACGACATACCAGTTTCAGAGGGTGGACTCAAACACTCGATTAACGCTAAACGATTCTGCTTTGGAGTGTAATTTACTTAAACAAATGAATTCTGACAATCTTCTTCAAGAGCAGGCAGTAATAATAAATGGTTAAACTGTGTAAGCACCACCGGAGACAAGTTACAAAAAGAGCCCAAAAAAACACCGTATAATCTGAGAAAATCATTAACTATTTACTCACCACTTAAAACCCCCAGTTCACGTTTTTGTCTGCAGTATTTCACGCTAAAGCTGCTTCTTAGTTAGCAATATTCCAGCCACCGCGGGATCAGCCCCGAGCCAGCACACACAGCAGCCCCCCTGCCCAAGAACTCAGCCCAACTGCAGCCAGAGCCCGGCCCCTCCTCACCCAGCTGCTGCCAGCTCCAGGTGAGCCTCATCACAGCCCGCTGAGGGAGTGCAGGTGCAAAGAGTTCCTCCAGCAAAACCTGGAACGCAGCACGTGAGCTGTTCTCAGCAGGCTCAGAAATGGGACCCAGCAAAAGTCATAAGAAATTAACGGAGGTAATGGAAGTGGCACGTGTTCTTGAAGATAATCGGGCACTTCATTGCTATGGCAGACTAGTTACCTGCTGGCAGGCAGTTACTGATCTGCAACGTACACCAGAAGATTTTCATTGACTCCAAAGAACGCTTACATGTCACTAAAAGCTTTTGTGATTTACCTCTTGGAGCCACTGGTGGAGCTCTGGCTCAGTGCTGTGCAAACCCTCTCACAAAATGAGGTAAATCCACAGCACATATTCATGGAACAGAAGATCCAAGTATTAACGTTTACACATTAACACCACCAGGGACCTCATTAAAACAATTCTCTTACCTGTATTTGCTCTATTTTATCACACCCCACATTTTTCTTTTAGGAGTGTATTCCAACGAACAAGAAAGATGCCACACACGAATTCATAAGTTTGTCCCCTTTAACTTGCATTCTCACTTTTCTACTTAAAGTTCTATCGTGAACAGAGAAATAGCTGAGTTATCTGATGATTTCCTTTCAGGGAACGTTGTCTTCTCACAGTTGGACATATCTAAGACATGCAAATGATGAAGAAAAAAGAGATACTGCAACTCCTCTGATGCAAAAAAGTGCCATATTTCACAGCTACAAACATTACAATCTTCAATAAAAGGAAGCCAACAATTCCCTTCAAGTCATAAAAGCACTAAGCTTCGTTGTGAATGACTGAATATAGAGTATGTTGTGACACATGCAGGATGTGTTATGTTTTATAAGAAGAAAGTTCAGATTATTCTTGCCAACATGATTTTGATAAGGAAGCGAGTCGTTGCCTAAAAGAATACATTTGTTTTCCAAATCCTTATACAGTCCTTATCACTCGTGCATTTCAGCTTCCAGCTGTAAATAATGGCATGCAGCATGATTCAACCTATCACTCTCTTCAGCCTGTGAGGAGTGCACAAACCACGGATGGGAATAAAGGGGACGCAGCTTTATTCATCACAGCAAACAGAACCATAAGCCAGCATGAAAACATATCTGGTGAGAAGTAATTAGCTCTTAGTCCCAGCCCAATCCCACAGCTGGAGCCACAGCAAATCTTTCCATCCGTGCACACACACTCAATCCATCTGATCTCAATGCCCGGCCTCCAGCACGCAGCCTGACCAGCCTCACCTGTGCCCAGCATGGTGGGTTGGCTGCCATCCTGAAGGCAGCAGCAACTCAGCTGGGAGAAGCCCAGTGCACCTCACCTGGGAAGAAACTGAAAAGAAACTTGCATGGGAAATGCTTTAAGTGGAACAATCTTACAGCAACGCACAGCACGCTTCTGCGGTTCAAGCCAGTGACACAAATGCTTTCAAAATTTCCACAATTAAATTATTAGAAATCCTACACCAAATAAATTAACTTATCACTCAACATTGAGCTGTACCATATTTTACGAAGAAAGCAGAATGTTCATGTATTTCCTAGGCTTTCTCCCTAAAAATGTGTCTTTTTTCCATACGTTTTTTATTACACATTTACTTATCAGAGCTAACAGTAGAGCTTTTTTTTTCCATTTACAAGTTAATAATATCCTAATTTCCTCTTCCAAAAGTGCATTTCGTTTTTCCTGCTATATTTTAATTATATTTTTTCTGCCATGTTATAACTATATTCCAAAGGAAAAGAAGTGTATCTATGGGTGTACTCATCATTAGTCAAAAAGTAAAGAACAGGTGCAAATGCATAAATTAACCTGTGAAAATGATAGGCATGATCCTATATATTATGTTTAATTGACACATACCTTAGCATTTATGCATAACTAACATTCAGCAAAACATTCTGTACGAACCACCAGAGGCTTCGTGCCCACAACAGCATGCCAGAACATCCCACCTGAATGAAGACAGAGTTTTATCAGAGCTCTGACGTGACAAAGTGCAGCCTTCCAACCTACTTAATGCTTAGCCTGCAGATAGGTTTAAAGAAATTAAATCAACAGTTTTGAGCGTAAATAAAGGCACATATGTATACACACAGAGCACCTCCTGTCCATCAGCTTCACTTCTCCATGCCAGGTTCAGTGCTGCTGAGTTGTTAGCAGTACCTTTGTGTACGAGGACCAGCAGATGGAGGCGCGCACCTCCTGCACATCTCTGACATAAGCCCGTGTCAGTGGATCGGTTCTGCTCACAGCTGCAAAGATAAAAGGAACAGGTTATTTTGCATCTCTGTTACAGACCTGTGGAATGCATATGTTCTATTCCCCCCAAATGACGAATTGATTGCAGCCTTACCTACTGCAGGCCTTGATCTGCAGGTAGCCACCAAGTTAGATGCTGATCACCCAGCTCTCCCAGCCAGAAGTCAGACTGCCTTGTAGAAATTCCTCTTCCCTCAGAGACAGTACACTGATGAACAGTAGTGATTAACTTCAATTATGCAACTCATGTTTCTCAGAAATATCTGAAGAATCTTTTGACATCTTATTAAATTTTTTTTTAAATAAAAAGAGAAAGATCCATTCTTTACTATGGTTCAAAGCCATGTTTCTACGGAAGTTGCAGAAAACCCCTAAGAGAGTTCATCTCCATCTGTCATCTTGACCTCTGAGCAATTACTTGCAGGTATGACATAGGCTGTTCTGTTTAAGGACAGATGATTAATAAACAGACTGTTACCACACCGGCTTAGCAAGAAAGCCTGCACACTGAAGAAATCCTTGCCATACACATATTTCCTAGTTGCAGCTCTTCCAAAAACAGACTGCTCAACAGCATACACGTAACACACATCTCAGAAATGCAGTTCTCACCTTTGATGCTCAGGCTATTTTAGATTAAAGATCACACTTGCTTTTGGGTCTTTTCAACTTCTGCCATAGCACTCTATTAAATCTACCAATGAATGTCAGAGAGTTTTTTAAAATATTTATTTTGAAAAAATCACTCTGTACAAATTTATCATTCTCAGCACTGAGGTTTTATAAAAATGCTAACACAACAGAAAGACTCGAGTGAAACATTAAATTCCTCTCTTCTTAAATTACAAAGAAACGGATTCATTCTAAAGAAGCTATTGTAATTCTAAACATTAAAAAAGAGATTCATAAGATTTATCTTCTTTATCTATTGCAGTCAAATACATGTATCAATAGATGACTTTTGCCATTCTTTTTATAAGCTTTCTTCCCCCCACACTGCCCACAACTAAACCAAATGCCCTAAATGTATTACACTTCTACTGTACACAGCTTGTGCTCCAAGGAAACCTTGCACAATTTCACTGTCCTTTTCTCAGTGCCTAACAAAAAGATGCCTCTATACATTTGGTACAAAATTCTCTGTACAAAGCCAAATTTGCTCATGTGAATTCCTGAAGCCAACTGAAGGAAGAGTATTTATTCGAGCCTTCCATTTGGTAATGAAAGAACAGTGATTAAGTAAAATTTCACAAAGTAAAATCCAGTAGCTGGGATTTCTGGCTGTTTTAATAATCATTATTGTATAAAAGCTTCATATGCTATAGGTTATTAGGAATGGCAAACCCTAAATCTAACAGTGCTAGTTTTACAGTCCTCATCATAAAATAGGATTTTTCTGTATATTTTTAAGTTTCCTCCCCTAATTTTAAGCTATTTGCAAAAGTCATTGTTATTTTTCCTTTTTTTTTTTTTTTTTTTTTTTTTTTTTTAATAGGAGGAAACACACCCTCATGGAATTAAAAACAGTAAAACTGTCCTATTCCTGTAAACACAACCAAATGAAGACTGGCAAAACGCAGTGTGACAGGTGAGCCAAGGTCTGATTTCTGTTTCACATTTCTTAGCGCAATATTCGGCTCACACACCGACAGCAGCAAAAAAAAAAAAACCCAAAGCAAATTTCAAGTTACAGCCAGGGGTGCCAGGCAGGATCCATCCGACAGAGATTATCCAAGCTGTTTGCAGCTGCTACCAGCGTGTTCACTTTGCTTTCTCCTCCTTCAAACTGAGCAAGATTATGCAGTCGAGTCATGATGGCAGTGACGGCTTTCTGAACGAGTGAAACCAGCTGCTGGCTGTCCATATTTTCAGGCTGTCCAGCTGCTGAGAGTGGAGAGGAAGTGTCCTCCTGTGTTTTTTTGTGCCACGCAATTATTTCATCCCGCAGCACAGTTTTTAGGATACCGTCAACCTACGTGAGGGAGAAAAATCAGACTATTATGTTTAATCTCAACAAGCATTAGAATACATTACACATTTTAAACTAAATATTAGCCTGCTCAAGCTGCTAACATTGCCAGGTATCCAATCTGAGATAAACTTTCTGTTTGCATGTTAAAAATAAACGTTTTTTAGCATATCTAGACATTAGGCCAACATATAAAATTTAATTAATATGTGTATGTATAGGATTCTGTTAAGAAAAAAAAAAGATTAATCAAACCTTAAAGGAATTCCTCTTATGTCCAGAACTCAGACAAGCTAACACAATTATAACCGTGTAGCTGAAATGAGCTGGGCACCCATCACTCCAAAAAGAATAAATGGGCACCTGGGCTCTCATCTTGGAAATTCAAGGTGAGGAGTCTAATTGGGTCTACATCATCTGGGTGCACAAATTACAGACCAAGTCTGCAAACTCATCTGCGTGTACAGGCATGGCTTTGTAAAGTGGTGAATTATTTAAAAAAAGAAACTAAACTTTCTGTATTACAAAGAAAAAAAATCATTTTAGGATATTTTCCATCTTCTAAAAAGTAGCTAGCTCCCACTGTAGCTATGGTTCGTTCCGTGCAGTGCCGTTCTGGTGCAAATTGCTGCCTAAGTGCAAGATGCCTCATTTTTGGAAAGCATTAGAATTTAAAAGGAAGTTAGACAATTTCTTTAGAAAACTACACCCTGCTAAGAGCTAGAATCCATCAAAGGAACAATGTATCTTGAGCATTCTGCTCTGCTAACAAAGGCCAAACACATTTCTATTCACAGTATATTACGAAGATTCTAAATGATGTTGCATTTGTCATTTCACTACTTACCACTGCCAGAACGTGTAGGGATTTATGAGGCTACAGCACTGAAACAATCAGCCTGAATTAACATGCTCCAACAGAATAAAAAAGAAATTCAGGGTGCAATTACACCTATCTACCTCCTATTCTTTCCAAAAAGACAAAAAGACTTCAGCTGCTTTTGTGATGACCTTGGGGTAAGACTTCAAAACATAAACACGGGGTGCTGGGTTTCTATCTCAAGCAAGAAAATGCTGTTCAGCTCATCGTTTCCTAAATGATAAATGGAAATTAAGTGCCCATGGGCAACGTGTGGAAAGGTATACGAACCTTAAAGTTTGGCTGTGCAAAGCAGCGAGCTACTGCAATCATAGAGGCAGTGAGCGGGCCGGACACCCCAATGGTGGTAAGAAACTCTGAGATGTTTGGTGTGAGCCGGAACGGAACCGGGCGGTTGGCATCCAGATCTCCTGTAGCATCGTTAATGTCAAAGCGGAAATAGGCCACGTTCAGCTTGCCTGTGTCCTGCATGGAAAACCAGAATGCACGGAAGTTTTTGAGTAAGAAGTGCAAACTGAAGTAATTCTTATCAACGTGAGTGTCCAAAAAGCTGTAAGGAACACAGATGCAGTATTAAACCTTGGAAGCAATATTCCTCTAGCAGGGGTCTGGGCAGAAAGATGGCCCTTCAGTCTCCAGGCATTCAGCTCTAGGTAATCTCTCTCTGCTGCTTGCTCCAGGTGAGAACCAACAGCACAGCTGCACAGTGGGGATTAAAAATCTACAGTGCTGTGCACAGGACAGCCCTGCGTGCATTAAAATGGCATTAAGGCTTTAATATACACCACCTTTGCTCCACTAAGGTGGCAATCCTTATTTTAGATATTGGGTTAAAACAGAGAAATTACCATTAATAGGACTTGATGTGATGTCAATGCAAAAAAAGAGGGCATTATTTGAAAACGGGTATTCTCCTTTTTAAAAAATTAACCTCTAAAGTTTTATTTTGTTGTGTATTTATTTGAGCTGTTCAGCACACAGGTCTATCCAAAGCAAAACGTTTAAAGGAAGACTAAAGAGAGACTAATCATTCACTTACAGTTCCAATATCTGTGATCAACTTTACAGATTATGTTCTAAATTCTAACCACAGAAGGAAGACAGAGTTGATGGCAGCTGGGTCTGCATTATAAATCACCTACATGATGTGCAATCACGTAATCAAATGAAAACCTGCTGTAACACACCGTTAATTATATATCTCAAATTCCCATTTTGACTCAATTCAAGCTCCCAAATTTCCATTTGATCAAAAAACACAGCATGCAGTTAGGACAAAATAAAGCATACCTGAGCTATCTGCAGCATTTCAGGGTTGAGTCTGTTTAAATGAAAGATGAACTCTGCAAAGCCAATCAGGGCTAACTGAATAGTGAACATCTTTCGAAACGTCCAGTAATCCGTGGCGTTGGGGAATGTATGTAGAGCCCACTCCTTGAGCATGCTGCGTGGCACCATGTTACTCTGCACTTCTTTAAGTATATCTCTGAGAACCTAGACATGAAAAATATTATTTGAAAGACATCATTTTTAGTGCAATTTTTACAACAGACAATTATGCCAAAAGCAACTACCAGACTCCACCGAACTGCTGTACGCCGCTGTAGGAAAACATCCCAAACTCTGACACTTTTAATCCAACAACATTTCCTGATTTCTTAATCAAAATACACGACACTTTGTGAGTCCATCCCCTGCACAGCTGACAAATAACCTCTATCTTACAAGACTTAAATTTTAATAAAACCAAATAAGCTGTAAATCTACAGTCAGTCTGACATGAGAAAAGCTGAAAGTGAAAAGTTATGCACTGATTGAAGTATCTTCAGACCTTTCAAGAAAATCAGAAGTAAACTAAAGAGACATTCAGTCACAATGCAGCACTTCCTTAAGGCAAACTAATGGAACACACTCCACTCTTTCATTTTCTTATCTTCAGTGCGAGGCGGATACGCATTTGTCAGCAATAAAATAAAATCCTCAGCTTACGTTGGAATATTGGTACGTGTTAATAGTAATACTCATCTCCAACCTCAGGCACCAGGATGCTGAACACTACTGAAGGTGAATTTTCCTTTCAGGGCTGCTCACATTTCCCACATAATGTCCTCTCAGTGAAAAATCCCCTTCTGCAGTGAAGGATGTGAACATCACACAACAATGAACCTTGAAGACAAAGGTTCTGGAGCCTACTTCATTTCTCTGAATTTCAAAGGGTCTG